GCATTGATTTGGGACGGGTGAAATACAAACACAAACTAATTAAAAACTGCATAATGGAGCCCTGCAGGAACACGGCAGAAAAACAAATAAATACAAGTGCAGCTGGCGCGGCGATTGTGCCTCTGCCCCCAAGCAACCGTCTGGTGACATCAAATTATAAACCCTGAGAACCTTCGCACCGTCGCTGTTGATTGTAGTGAAGGCATAATGGAGATGATCTGGTTAATTAAGGGGAAATTTATAAAATATTTACGTGTATGCGCACGCATGCAATTCACTTCCTCCGACATTCAGGCATGGCGACATTAGGGAACTCCAGGCCGAGCCACTGCGGTCTTTCCTCTGCCCTTCATCTGTGGGAAACTCAGGCCCAGCTCCACTCGCAAAGATGCGGGAAGGGGAGCGCACTCCGCGGGCCTGCAGCCATCAGGGCAGCGCAGCGTCCCTGGACTTGGAGCTAGCGTGCAGTGTCCGGCGGTGCAGGACTTCCCTGGGCATCTGACCGTTCGCGTCCTTCGCTTCTGGATGTTTCCTTCCGGGGTTTCCTTCCGGAGTCACTCGCGCTGATTCTTGCAGCCCACCGCCCTTTGCTCATCCGTCCTGGGCACCCTCTGCCAGCCACTGCGTTCCAGCAGCCCTGCGCCCTCGCGGGGGAACTTACCACGACCCTTGGTTCTGAGCAGGAGCGTGAGGGCCAAGCACCCAAGGGTCCAGGCCTAGGGGCGGTGGGCCGGGCAGCACATTCTGCCCGGTGCGTGGCACTGGCACCCACCCGTGCAGGGGTTGCAGCCAGGTGCTCGCTCCCGCGCGGGCCTAGTAATTCCATATTCAGCTGCCCAACACCTCTCTGTAGCCAAGCGGGGTGGCATCCCAGGTCCTGCTGGGGAAAGGTGCAAAGTCCTAATGAGTATTTAACAAGACTCATAAATCAGAGCGCTTAGGGGCGGGGGTCTGGCTGGGGTCCGCGCGGCGGGCGCAGGCCGGGTCAGCGCCGCCACCGAGCCGCGGCCGCGCGCGGCAGCCCCGCTCTCCACGGAGCAGAGAATGGCGTGGCCGTTTTGAACGCTAGAGTGCAAGGATCTCTGCGACACCCGCCTGCGTCCCAGACGGGGCTGTGTCGCTGGATCTTGGCGCCAGGCCGGCTATCCATCTAAAGAGGAGCTTCTTCCTTTTCAAGAGACCCGCGGACGACAGAGACTGGGAATCAGCGGAGAATTATTTCGGAAGAAATGGAATGGTAACGAGGACGCTGTGGGCTTGTCTAACCTCAGAGTAAATGAACCCTAGGGGGTGAGGAGCTTGGATGATCCGCAGTCTTGGAGGGTTAGGGAGAGGAAACCCAATCTTCGGAGCCGTAAGAGCAATTCCCTCTTAGTTAGAAAACTGCCCCAAACGAGCCAGGCCACTTTCCATCAAGCCTTAAAACCTACTGACAAATGCAATTGGTTCAAGCGCGCTGTTCACCAAGCCCGCTCCCCGCCCCCATCCCTTGGCCTCTCGGCATTTTTTTGTTTGTTTGTTTGTTTGTTTTGAGCGTCCTGAGCGCGCTCCGCACCCGGGGGCCCGCGTCGGCCTCGGGCTGGGGCGCGCCCAGGGTCCCTGAGGTCCCGCTTCAGAGTCTCAGTCCTCTGTCGTTGCCAGGAGTCTGTCCCAAAGCTCTCGAGCTCCCTGACCGGATCCGGGACGCCAACCCGGAGTAGCTCTGATTCCACCGCGCAGCGACCCCTAGGTCTGGCTTTGCACCCTTTTGGCTCTGCGTCTGGCACAGTGTCGAAGCGGCAGCCACTGCTGGATCTGATCAGGCCAGAAAGAAGCTGGGCTGCGGGAGCCACCCTTCCCTTCCGGATCCCGGAGTGGGTCTCCCGGCTTGGGGATTCTACACCACAAGGCTCAGTCCTTGGGTTCTCGAGGGCCCGGCAGGTGTAGCCCCACCATCTTCCTTCTTGCGGTGCCAGGGAACCCCCGCGGGATCCGGGTCTTCCCTCCTCTTCCCTCCCTTGGGCGCTGAGAGGATGGCTATTGAGCCTGGTCGGCGTCCTTATGGGTTTTTGATTTCCAGAAAACGATATTCAAATCGGGCCCAAAGTTCCTATTCACAGTGCGTGGGCCCCTGAGACCATCAAGCTCTCAACCCACTCATTGACTTGATGCTAAAAACTGTCAGGAAAGGGCAACCTAAGCCAGAAGCTTCTTGCTGCTTCTCCGCCCCTCCCCATCTCCAACTCGAGGGTTTGGAGGCAATTTTTTCCCTCCCTTTTCCTTTTTCCACTTTCCTTCCTCTCTCCTTCTTTCCATTGCAGGGTGCAAGTTTTGGGGCACAGGGTCAAAGAAACAGAAGAGAAACAATGAAGCTCTGCTAAGACCTCCCAGAACTGGTTTTAAGCATAGAGGTCTTGCCTGCAGTCCAGTCCTGGTTCTTGGCAGAGAATGGGCCACAATCTCCACTCTGCACCTTCTCAGTGCTCTCTGGGGGGGGGGGGAAGTCTACCCACTGGGCTTGCCTGTGCCCGTTCCTTAGCACTCCTAGTCCTCAGATGGGTTTCAAAGGGCAGGTCCCAAGTAGGCCCCAGCAGGCCCTCCCCACTTACCTTGCCTATGTGATGTGTTCCAGAGCCTACACTCATTTCATGCCTCCAGTGGAGGTGATGCACTCAGAGCACAGGGAAGTGGCATTGTTGGGCTGCTTGAGGGTCAGGACAAAGTTCCTTCTGTCCCTCTCCAAGGGGTGGGCTAAGAGGTGCAAGTGTGATGGCAGCAGGTGGGAAGCAAGTAATCAATCAGAGTAGCTGAATCCTGACACTAACAAGTGTCTCTGTACTTAAATCCCACCCCCTTCTCCAGGTCACACTGGCATGCTTATCTCACCTTTATTTACCTCTCCCTTGAATTGGGACACTGGATTTTGCTAAGCCAGGACAGTGCTGTGACTTCCTTGCAGTGGTGGTGAGGGGGGAGGGGGAAAGTACAGGGAAGAAGGTGATGGGAATCAATGGTAGGTCTGTCCTAGGGTTAGAAAGTAAAGGGGTGGGCTGGGGACCAGGAAGAAATCACAGCTAGGAACTTCCCAGAGCTGGAGCTCCCAGCATCCATTCATTCCTCCCCCCAACCCCATCTAACACACATACACAGAATCCATGTCAAAGCAGGCAAAGGAGCCTGGTATTTCCATGGGGGGTTCTAGAATGTGCAGAGGCAGGTTTGGGGAACAGCATGAACAGGAAGAAGGCCTGACTCAGTGGAGAAAAATTAAGCTGATTTTGGAGCAAGTTGTTAATTACTATTATGGCCCTTAGTGTGGCTAATTATAGGGGGATGACTCAGTGTCTTGTCCTCAAGTCCAGGAAACCTGTGCCTTCCTGATGTTGCAGGAGTCCCAGGCCTGGAGGCTCTGCACAACTTGGGGGGAAGGTGGTGGGGGTCTGGCCGGTGTTCAGGTCCCTGTGGTGTTGGTCACCAGCAGCACAGCTGGAAGGGGTCAAGACAGTAAGGCTTCATCCTGTAGCCCTAAAGGGCCTAAACCGAGACTGGTGCCCCAACCTGAGACTTAAATTCCTGCAGAGTACAGTGTTTGGAAACACCCCGGCCACGCTCTCCCTGCCCAGGCAGCCACATAGGTTGTGGGCATGCAAAGATGCCCCAGGAGCAGCTGGGGGATACCTGGACACTCTTAGATCCCGCACCAAGGCGGGAAACAAGCCAGGGAGCCAGCGCAGAAACCGCCTGTGTGGCGGGGAGGAGCCTGCATTTGGCATCTGATCCTGGGAGAGACATGGCCAGGCCTCAAGTGACCAAGGGACACCCCACGCGCGCACCGAGACCAAAGGCATCTGCTTGCTCTTCCAGAAAGTCTGAGAACAGAGTGGAAAGGCGGAAGGAAGAGAGGGACTCGGGGTAGGAAACCAGGTGGCTGCCCCAGTCCCCTGGCTGGCCGCAGCACCGGCTCCCTGTAAGTTTGCTCCCTGCGTCAGCATGACTAGGGGACAAACGTGGGCGCCCAGGCCACGCAGGCTTTCCCTGTCGCCAGGGGCGGGAGAGGGTGGGAGAAGTTTTCTTCCAGCTGTGAAGACGCTTTCTCTGCAAAGAAAAGGCCCCTCCCTCCCCCTTTCCCCTTCCCCCACCCCCAAAAGTCCACCAGTGCTAGGCTGTGACTTCTTAGCTAGCTGGCCCTTTCTCAAAGTTTTACAATTGGAAAAGCTCGCAGAGCTCGGCCACTTCCCGCTTCACCAAGTGCGATGAGGCCGGCCATTTCTAGATGATCTGTTGATACCCACTGGAGGCATGGGGACGCCACGCCACGCGTCGGAGGTGTCATGGCACGCCGGTTTATCCGCGCAGGGAAGGCGCCTGGGTGCCCTTCTGCCGAAGATGTCGGGTGAGGCATCTCAGCTCCAGCCTCTGAGGAGAGGCCATTGGCTACTGGCTGTCACCCTTGCCCCGGCCGGCCCCATTCCCCGCCGCCCGACAGAAAAGCAGTCGCCAAGTTGTTTTTGTTAAAAAAGGGACACACCTCGGATGCAAAACCGGGTGTCAGACAGCTATAAACCAATGTCGACAGGTTGTCAGACAGCTGCGGGGGCAGCTCGGGAAGGAGCCTTCGGCCTCGGGACCCGCACGGGCCGCTGAGCCGCGCGCGCCCACAGCAGGAGGAGGTGGCCGGGCCGGCGCGGGGCACCACGTGCTCGCCGGGAGGGGCTGGAGCGGCCGGCGAGGGCGGGCGGGAGGCAGGGAGGGGGCGGGAGGGGAGGCAGGGGCGGGGCCTGCGCTCAAGGGGATGCCAATCAAAGTATCAACTTCAAATTGTGTCTGAAAGCCCCGCCGCCGAGCGGAGGGCGGCCGCCGCAGTCGGCGCGCGATCGCGGATCCGGGCGCAGCCGGGAGCCGGGCGCCAGCGAGCACCGGGCCGAGGAGCAGCGACGGGCCCCCGCCCCGGGGCCGGCCGTCCTCTCCCGCCCGCGCCGGGTCCCCTCCAGCCCCCCCCCGCCCGCCTCCGCCTCCCCTCTCCCGCCCTTTAATATTTGCCGGCCGCCGCCGCCGCGGAGTCCGCGGACATGTCCTTCCCGCAGCTGGGCTATCCGCAGTACCTTAGCGCCGCGGGACCGGGCGCCTACGGCGGCGAGCGCCCCGGGGTGCTGGCTGCGGCCGCGGCTGCTGCGGCCGCCGCCTCGTCGGGCCGGCCCGGGGCGGCGGAGCTGGGCGCGGGCGCTGGCGCGGCCGCGGTCACCTCGGTGTTGGGCATGTACGCCGCGGCCGGACCGTACGCGGGCGCGCCCAACTACAGCGCCTTCCTGCCCTACGCCGCGGATCTCAGCCTCTTCTCGCAGATGGTAAGTGCGCCCGCCCCGCAGCGCCCTCCTCGCCTTCGGCCACCTTCGGATCCACGCGCCTGGGGGCCCGGGGCAGGGGTGGCGGGACGCGCGGGAGGGACGGAGGACGGCTGGACCCGGCCCAGGCTAGGAGCGGGAAAGGTCGTCCTGATGGGTTCGGGGCGGCGCAGGCCGCGCCCCCTAGGGACTCCCGAGCGCGGAGAGGCCCGGTGGTGACCGCAGGGCTGTCTTGGCTGGGGAGGCGGAAGACCGGAGCCGGAGGAGGATCGCGCGGGAGTGGAGAAAGGCCGTAGGAGCAGGCCCAAGAGCGCGGCTCGCTCGCGGTTCACGGCAAACTCGCCCTGCGCGGCCTGGGCACCAGGGCAGGGCCCACGGGGCTCCGGCAGCCCGGCCCAGTTTACCAGGATTCCCCTCTCCGGCCCGCGGGCCTTGTCCGCGCGGCTCTTTAGTTTCTAAACTGGGCCCAAGAAGAGTGGATTTTTCTCCCTCTTTGGGAATGCGGGGATAGTTGCCCCCGAGTTTGCCGCAGGGAACCCTTCAAAGGCTAGTATAGTCGGTCAAATAGTCCAGGCAATAGGTATGGGCGGAATGCAGAGGTCTCTTCCTGGTGTGTGGTGTGTGTGTGTGTGAATTCGAGATTTAAAGAAATTAAGTAGAAATAAATGATGGCGTCTGAAACGGTTTTTGCTTTTAGTTGTATAAGTTGCTAAAGTTTCCATTTGATTTGCACTGGAAGAAAAGCACGTTTCTTTCCTAGTTACATAATGGTGGATTAAAAAAATCAGTGTCCCTGGACTTAAATAAATGGTGTCCTCTCACTCTCCTGCCTCAGTGGGTGTCAGATGGGGGAGGGGGTGCAAATTTAATTCTCCGCGGGGGCACCGGTCGGTCCGTCCGTCCAGATGATCCATTTTCCTCGGTCTGACTGCAAGGTCAGGGCTGCTTAAACTTCGGGCGGCTGGTGAATTGCGAGGTGGGCGCGGGGGTCGGGGCCCTCAGCTGCCTTGCCGCCCGCTGGGTAACGCAATTTCCACGCATCTCCGAGTTATCCTTATCCTTACTGCCAAAGAACGGCCTAAATACCCGCCTACCGTGCACGAGCAGAGCAGCGGGCTCTTCTCCTGCAACTTTTCTTGTACTTTTGAAAGAAAGCCTGTTTCTCCGAAATCGGCCGCAGCTGCCTTTCAGATCGCTCGCTACCCAGGAACCTCAGCCCCCATTCTGTTCAGGCCCGGGGGATGCCCGGGAAGCGATGAGAGATTTACAAGGTGTCCTTTCAAAAAGAATTCCCAGCAGAGACAAGGCCGAAATGTCTTCTTTACAATTACAACCAAAATAATTTGAAAAGCGCAGAGTCCGTTTTGCAAAGACTAGGCAAAAAACGAATTCTGGCCACAGGGACGTTTCTGTGTGGCCTCACTCACCGAACTAATTAGTCAAAGAAATCTGCTCTTTGCAACTTTTAGAGTCCCGGAGTCCTCCTTTGCTAGCATAGCCACTGGATGAGTTTCTAAATGGAGGATGGATTTTTTTTTTTTTAACAGAAATTTTGAATACAGATGTAAGCCATTTGGGAGCCCTGCGTGTGTGCTTGTCGGGGAGGGGGAGCTGTGAGGGTCTCTGCTCCCATTGTGGTGAGGTGGGAAGGGCAGTGCTGGATGTTTGCTTTTTCTTTCTCTTTCTTTTTTTTTTTCACTAAAGGGAAAAATAGGTAAAAACTCTCCCCCAAGGTATTTGTGTTACCTCCAGGTTTCCTGCCGGTTCTTGGACAGAAAGCTTAAACTCAAAACTCCCACTCCAGGCCTAGGTTTCCAAGCCTTTGGAAGTCAAAAGATAAAATTGTGAGTGAGCGTCTGTCTGGGCAATTTATGGTAATAATGAGGCCTAATGAGGTTGTTAGAAAGATAAAATGTTATTTACCAAAAAACCTGATGGGATAATTTGACTTGCTGTGTTTTACTACTGATGATAAAAAGAATATTGATTGCAAATAAATCACAGCTTCTAAATGCCTGCAAACAGTTTGTGTTTGCTCGCTCCAGATCAAAGTCAAACTTAAGAGATAAAGTAACCAAAAGAGGCCCAGGAAACTGAACCGCTTCCCCTTCTCACAGCCGGCTGCTGGGGGTGGGGGGGTGGCCTGGCATTAATAGTTTACCGGATAAAGCCCCCCTTTTGTATTTAAAAAAAAACAAACAAATGGTGTTTTTGCGATTGTTGTTGCTGATGGCCAGGATTAAAATTTTAAATTACCTGTCACCATCACCGACCCTTTAAGTGTGGGCAAACCATTATATGCAGATTATTTGGGAGGTAAAAGGAACTTGCTTTCGTTTTAAATTACTGGCGGATTAGACCTGAAGAAAACCAGGGATGGCTTATTTTGATTGACCTCTTCGGGGCGGAAGGGGTGGAGGGTTGGAGTTCTGGGTTCTTCAGGTTTTGAGAAACTGTTACATCAACCTTGTTAAAAGGTTTTCACCTCTAGCTAGCGGGTAAGATAAACTTGGAAATCCGATTGCCTGGAAGGGATGGTGGTGGTGGGAACCAGCTCGGCCTAGGGAAATTCCAGGGGGCCACTTCTGGTGCTGCGCTTTTGGAAGTGCACTGCTTCCAGAAGTTTTTCTAGAGTGACCAAAAACATTTCCACGATGAGATGAGTTTAAGCACAGTTTGTGGGGTCGGCCCTTGACTCTGAGCCCCCTTCTTCCCCAGAAGTGGATTGGGGGCCCTCCTGTCTTGGGGAACATACCAAGGCCCTGCGAACTGCTTAGGAGTTCCCCAGTGGATCGGGTGTCAGAGAAGGCCCCGGAACCCACAAGAGCGGCTGCCCCAGACTTTACTAGCTTGGGGAACTCATCTCTCCCTCTCTTTTTCTCTCTCCACCTCCATCCTCTCTCTTTGTTGCTCTGCCGCGGCTGCAGGGCTCGCAGTATGAACTCAAGGACAACCCTGGGGTGCATCCTGCCACCTTTGCAGCCCACACGGCGCCGGCCTATTACCCATATGGCCAGTTTCAATACGGGGATCCCGGGCGGCCCAAGAACGCCACGCGCGAGAGCACCAGCACGCTCAAGGCCTGGCTCAACGAGCACCGCAAGAACCCCTACCCCACCAAGGGCGAGAAGATCATGCTGGCCATCATCACCAAGATGACCCTCACGCAGGTCTCCACCTGGTTCGCCAACGCGCGCCGGCGCCTCAAGAAGGAGAACAAGGTGACATGGGGAGCGCGCAGCAAAGACCAGGAGGACGGCGCCCTCTTCGGCAGCGACACCGAAGGCGACCCCGAGAAGGCCGAGGACGACGAGGAGATTGATCTGGAGAGCATCGACATTGACAAGATCGACGAGCATGATGGCGACCAGAGCAACGAGGACGAGGAGGACAAGACCGAGGCGCCTCGCGCGCCCACAGCCCCTACCTCGCTAGCCCGGGATCAGAGCTCGCCACTGTCAGCCGCCGACGTGCTCAAGCCCCAAGACTCGCCCTTGGGCCTGGCCAAGGAGGTCCCAGAGCCCGGCAGCACGCGCCTGCTGAGCCCTGGCGCCGCGACAGTCGGCCTACAGGGCGCGCCGCACAGCAAACCCAAGATCTGGTCGCTGGCTGAGACCGCTACGAGCCCCGACGGCGCGCCCAAAGCGTCTCCTCCGCCGCCCGCGAACCACCCCGGCGCACACGGGCCACCCACAGGCGCGCCGCTGCAACACCCTGCTTTTCTGCCCAGCCACGGACTGTACACCTGCCACATCGGCAAGTTCTCCAACTGGACCAACGGCGCGTTCCTCGCACAGGGTTCGCTGCTGAACATGCGCTCCTTTCTGGGCGTTAGCGCGCCCCACGCCGCACCCCATGGTCCTCATCTGCCTGCGCCACCACCTCCGCAGCCGCCGGTCGCGGGTGCCACTGGTGGGCTCCATGTTGACAAGGCCTCGACCCGTAGCAGCCCTGCACTCCCAGGTATTGTGCCAAAGGGCCCTATCCCCTTGATCCAGGCTGGGAATACAGAGACCTGGAGAGAGGTGGGTTTGGGGGTGGAGGCAGGGGTGGATTAATGAGGGGACCTAGGTCGAAGCCCTAGGGTCTCTCCAGTGAGTGGTGGTCTGTCGGAGGGCCTGCCTCTGTTGAGGGAGAGCAGAAAACGTTTTTCTAGGTAACTTACCTGAGCCCAGGAACGGAATCGACGGGGAGGAGGGTGCTTTGAACCAGTGCGTCCCAACGCTGGTCTCCCTTTCCTAACCCTTTGCCTCTTCTGCTCCCTCGCAGAGAGAGACCTCATCCCCAGGCCGGATTCGCCCGCACAGCAGTTAAAATCACCCTTCCAGCCAGTACGGGACAAGTGAGTGCTGTTTGCTTTTACCCTGGGGCGGGGTGGAGCTGGGGGGTTGACTGGGCCGTGGCGGCGCTGGGCACTGCAGCGGTGGGGGTCGCGCAGTCTTTATTGGAGGGACTCAATCCGCCAGCTCTGAGCGCGCCGCGCAAGCAGAGTAGACGAGAGTTTCTCCCCAGCCGGGAGCCGCGCGGGCTGCGACCCCGCCTCCTCCGGTTGTGCTGGTAGAAGCGGCGACGCGGTGGCTCAGCATCCATCCACTGACATTGCTCCTGTCTTGTCTCGCTGTTTCCCATGCAGTTCGCTGGCCCGCAGGAGGGAACGCCACGGATCCTAGCAGCCCTCCCGTCTGCCTGATTAAGGGTCGTCTTTTACTTTTGCGGGGGGAGGGGGGAGGAGTTGGGGAGGGAGGGATGAGGGAGGAATTAAGACAAATATTTCAGACTGGTGTACAGGACAAATATGACGACGACGTCAATGACTCTCATCCATCGCTTTCTGCAGAAAGGGGCTCATCCAGCCCGAGCTCGCGTACAGGCGGCCAGGCCTCTGCTTGCAGCTCGGGTGGCTGTCACCACTCTCGGGTTGATTACCCGAATTGGCAAATGCCTCCACGTGCTTGTGTTTTCTGTTTCTTTGTTTTTCCTTTCTGTATATAGAGTGATTTCAGATTGTAAATAGCGCGTCAGCAAACTTGTCTAAATCATATATTTTTGTCTAATAAACTAAATGAAATGAAGCCCGGTGCTCTTGCTGCTGTGTGGTGCGTGAATGTGTGCGTGCGTGCGCACGCGCGAGTGTGCGGTGTACCTGGAGACTCCTCGGGAGGAGGGCCAAGCTGGTGTTTCAAACGCAGTCTTTTGGTTGTGGTGGTGGGGTTGTTGAATTTGTTACTGTTGTTTCTAGTTTATTTTATTGTTGACATTTTTTTCCCCAACGCTTGCACAAGCATTTTTATCTGGGGCAGCCTTTCTCAGGGCGTAAAACGTTCAATTTTAGGCAGCTCACAAAACAGTATTTGAAAGTGGATTTTAAAAATGGGAGGAAATTGACGAGAATTTCCAATCACATCCCCAAAGAGAACTTCAGATTCAAAATCAATTGCTAACTAGTTGAACAGTGTATGTTAGAGTAAGATCGTCTTCTGGGTAGAACGTGGAAGCAGTGGAGTATGAAATAATGTTTTAAATGTATTTTGTAGTTACTCGGTTGTGTATCATAGGGAAATTGGAAGGCTCTTTTAAGGTTCCCGCATGGAAGGGAAGGGGTGCGGTTCCGGGGTGCTCTGGTGTGTATGCCAGGGGGCCACGGCGGCTGTGGGTTGCGAAGAGAGGAGGGACTTTGATCTGCCAGGACACTTGGTTAAACCTCAGTGTCCCCAGTCTGCGTCTTTACCCCAAGATCGCGCGCACCCTGGGAGCTAGGAACAAATAGTCATGCAGATGGCCGCGGCCGGGCAGGGGAGGAGGCGGCAGGGAGCGTTGTTAGGAAACAATGCGCAAGGGGCTGGCCTCCGACGCCACGGGTGGGAAGGGAGCCTGGACAACCGCAGCCGGTGGGACTTCCCGCCACTTATGCGTTGGGAGCGGGATGCGCAGTCCCCCTCACTTTACCAACCCAGCGGGCGCGGGCTCCTGAGATGCAGATGACTGGATTTCTTGACAACTAGGAAAGTGAACATTAAAAAACTGCTAGCGAGGATGTGTGCGGCGGGGAGACCCGCTTAGTGGGGAGAAGCCTGGGTCTGCGAAGTCGGACACGGTGGGTCCCCGGACAGCACACCCAGGAATTTGAGACCTGCTGTCTGCCCCGTGTGGCTCCGGGCTACTCGGCGCTCAGCTGTTGCGCGGCTGGGAAGTTGGGACCCCGTGGTCCTTGCTCCTGTCCTGCTGAGAAAGAGGGAAGCTGTTCGGAGGACAGAAAGCATCCCCGGATGGCCGCCCTTCCTGCAGCCCTTGTCACTCTTTCAGATCTGTTTAGAGGGAAGGGCTCCTCCTGGACCCCTGGGCTGGAGGAACCGCGTCTAGGAGCCAGGCAGGAAGGGCCCAGCGGAGGGCGAGTGGAAATATTGCGCGTGGGAGCGCGCGTCGGTGCGGGGTGGGTGGGAGCCCTGGAGGAGCTGGGCCACCGAGCTGAGTGGACCGCGGCCCGCGGGCTCCCACTGCCTCCGCTGTGGAGCAGTTTCTCAGGCAGAATGGACGTGCTCTAGGCGCCCTCTATGGTCCGAAAGCGGAATGGGGCGTTGATGTCGCCGCCGAAGTCAGCTCCTGAAGCTTGGTGCCAGCAAATCTGGGAGGGCTGGACCTTGGGGCTTTGGGGGCATGACCTAGATTTGTGGCAATGGGGCTTGCTCTGTGTTCCAGGGGTCACCCAGTTGTTGTCTTTGTTTGTTTGGAGGGCCGACAGGCTGGCACCTGGGGAAAGAGAGTGGGCCTAGGGCTCCCTGCGATGTGTTTTCATTGTCAGGACAGGGATTGCTAAACCAGAGGTATCCCTCTTCTATACTCCCTCAGGGCTTCATGGGTCCTCATAGCCCTGGTGTCTGGTTCCCCAGCCAAATCTTGTGCCCCCACCATGTTCCCACCTCTGCCGGCTGCTGCAGAGGCAGCTGGGTCAACTTGAGCCATGAGCCTACAGACAGGAATTCAGGCCACAGGAGGCGGTGGTCTAGAAGTCACTAAGGGTCTGTGGCCATAGTGAGAATCAAATTTTCACGCACACAAATCACACTGCCGGACTCAGTTATTTTTCTCTATTGAAAAGCTAGAGATGAATTTTTAATCAAGCCTTGAAAAGAGTTTTTGCAACTTTTATTTTTAGTGTCTGCTTCGACCTGGGTTAGAAGCACCCCCATGGGCCCAGAGTTTCATCTTTAAAAAAAGATCTGAGCCTGGACAGTGGACATATAAATTGCGGAGACCACTTTGCCTCTAACACCAAAGCCATGGAAGATCCTGGGGAAGTTTCTGAGGTGGTGTGCTCCCCACCCCCAGCTCTGAGTGTGTGGTCAGCCCTGTGACAGGCAGGGAAGAGATTGATCTCAAAAGGCAGGAAAGGTGAGGGTTGTCCACAGAAGCAAAGCTCCCCACATAGGGCTCTGCCTCCTTCACGGGGTGCAGGTAGCCCATACAGCTGACAAGCCGTGTACAGAACAGAGGATTTCTCTTTTAGGAGCCTTTGTGGTGGGAAAGCAAGAAGCAACTCCAGTCCAGGGGTCGCTCATCTGTTTCTGCCCAGGCCTGCCAGAGGTGAAGGCAGAGGGTCTAGGTTGTCCTCCAGGCTCATCCCCTTCCTGCATCCAGCAGCCAGCTGGACTGGAGGAGTAGGCGCCAACCCCCATGGTTGACCGGCTGGAGTCTCACAAGTCTCCCAGCTCCCACTGTCCGGCCCTCCGTCTTGCGATCAATTATATCCACTGGCACATTTATCTCCCCTGCAATATGGAGAATTCATATTCACATCTCGGTTTTAGCGGTCTGACACTGATTAATGTAATGGGCGCCTTGGCTCCGAGGGGCGCACCACCCAATGAATCATGCCCTATGAAGTTTCAGTCGTCCTTGTAGATGGGACTCTGGCAAAGATGAGGAAGCAGACAGGGAGGACAGGAAGCAGAGAGAGAGAGAGAGGACAGGATGGCGGGGCTACAGCACCCAGGGTTGCCTTGAGCGCCCAACAGGAGGAGTGGAACTGGGCCGAGTCCTCTCTCCATGCGCTGGAAACCTTGCCTGCACCAGATGCGAACGCGGACCTGAAGCGCGGTCGTCCTTTCTCTACCTTCGAGGGCACCAGCAGGCTGCAGGCTGCCTGGTCTCAACCAGGCAGGATTCTTGAAGGAGTGGGAGCTTCTGGAAGGGGCCTGGGGTTTCTGGATACCGAATTTTGAGGAAGTTGAGAACACAAAATGTGCTTGCTTGCAAAAGCTATAGGACCCAGTTTGTCAGTGGGTACTGCAAGGAGAGGGGTGGGAAGGAAGAGAGGAAGTCAAGCCCAGGGAGGGTCGCTTGTGGGGCTGGGGGAGGAGAGGCAGACATTGAAGATATGGGGTTGGCCTTGGATGGAATGCAGGATGGCAGTCAGAAGATCCAGAGGAGCAGTGGAGAGGGATGTGACCCTTGGGGGTAGCCACGAAGCCCACCCACCTTGAGGGGTTCCCATGCGCACTTGCATGTGGGTAGATTTGGGGAATGAAGAGCCAGGGGAAGAAACGGGCCCCACCTCTAAGGTGTTCAGTGGGCCTGGTCTCCTGACACTCCTTGAGCTGAAACCCGACCATCATAGAATAGCTTCCAAATGGAACCAGTATCACTCCTGGGCCCAGGTCAGCTAGGGAGGTGATTTCCCGGGCCCCCAAATAAGCACTCTAATTATGGCTTTGGAACTGGAGCTGAAAAAGCCTCCAAGGGTCAATCTGGGGGACTGCAAGTAGATCTGCAAGGATGAGGGTGTCTAAAAGTCACCCAGCTCAGGGAGGACAAGCAACTAAGCCACTGACACCAGCACAAGAAGCCTGAACCTGGGGCCCCACACTTTTAAGGGTACATGAAAATGGTTTAAATCATTTTCAAATGGATACAGGCACCTTTGAGGTGGATAAGATTGTATTAACGTATGATATCTGTGTATACCAAGACAGTTGTAAAGTGTGTTTTTAGTATTTGTTTTTAATGGAGGGCGAGGCCCACAAAGGCAAAGTCTCTGAAGTCCACCAAAAGTCATCTGTGTGCCAAAAAGTCACATTGGGTCCCTGGACTGGAGGAGGCCTCTTTTGAGGTCTGAAGTCCTGAGATTGCCCTAAATGGGAAAGTAGAGAAGAGAGGTGGCCCTAAGCTTTGGAGAGAAGCAAGGGGGTGAGCTGTAAGCCTGGGTGACTTCTCCATCTCCTGTCCCAGCTTCTGTGATCAAGTGGGGGTAGACCTCATCACAGGCTCCTAGGCTATTGGCTTGAGCCCATAAACTGCCACACCAGAAAGTCCCCACACCTCCCACCCCCTCTGATCCACCCACTGCCTGCCTTAGAAGAAGAAACATTTTTCTCCAGGGGGCAGCAACCTAGACTTTGGGCCTGGGCCCAGCAGTCACCTTCCTGCCTCTCATTGCGGGGGGGGGGGGGGGGGGGGCCTTTGGGCCCTTTCTGCATGCTGCTGTTTGTTTTCTGAAGACACCCAGGTTGTCTCTGATCCTTTAATCCAGAGTCCTGAGTGCCCTGGCAGGGTGAGGGACACAATGACCAGGCTGTAGCAGATCCAGAGAAATCCATGGACTCACCAAAGCCACCTTTTCTACATAACCCAGACATGGGAGCCCGTGGACCCACTGTTTCAGCACCCATGGGGGGCCAGAGCTGGGTAGCAGAATGCAGGTTACATTGCCCAGAGTGAAAGCTTTTATTTTTAATTCCAACTTTTAAAGTCCTTTTATTTTAATTTTTATTCTGCTGTGCCCTCTTCGATAGCGAAGATGGTAGCTGGTTATCTCCACGGTGCACTCAGGATCTATAGATCCTGGACAGGACACTGGGATGGGATGAGACTGCTCTTTGTGTTCAGGAACATCAAGAAGCTCTGACTGCTTGGTAGCTGGGGTGACAATACTTGGGAGGGAGCTGGTCACTTTCAGTCTTTCAGCTGGCTCCTCCTGTTTGTTTGTGGCTGCCATAACTTTGCTTGTTGTTGGGATTTAAACGTATGCTTAATTGCTAGTTCCTTGCATAGCTGCAGCGATGTCTGAAAATATTA